TACAAACTGCTGTCTCTACGAAACGGAAGAATGAGAGGAAACCAGAACGCTGTTCATAGTTGCTTTTTTAAAAAAGAAAATTACTTACTGTATTTTTATGGCAGGAGGGAGAAAAAAATGTTAAAATGGTTTCTAATGAAGTCAGATATTTAAATGATGAATGACTAATATGTTTAGTAGAGACAAAATAAACCAATAAATGATTGTTCTTTGTCATTTATGTACTCAGGAAACTACCGTTTGCCATTATAACTAAACAAAGACTAATTTATAAATGATTTATTGAAAAATACATTTATTTTCATATAAAATTACAGTAGCAGTATCTTGAGAGGTTTTATAAATATTTTTGCAGAACACTATTCTAATTGAATAGTGTAAGTTCCATGTTTCTTTCAGAGCAATATGAAGTTACCTAGTAACTTTGTTTATACTGATTCAATTTACAGTTGAATTTTCTCCCTAATAAGATTAATTCAATTTTAAAACTGCTGGAACAGTAGTGATTAATAAAGGTATGTATAGATAATTCAATAGCTGTCAAATAACATTTTCTAATTTATATAAATGGTACTATGTACTAATAAAGATCTAAAGTCTCCCACCTATTTTTTAAACTGCCAGGAATATGCCCAAAGATACCTCACGTCTTTTGTATACCTCCTCAGGAGGCCATAATTTTTCATATTAATGCCTTAAATTCAACCTGATTTAAGTCTTTTCTTTGCCAGCTGATTCCTATATAACAACAAAAACTGGAGAATCTAAAACACATGCCCAAAGCATGGCTACCAGGGCATTAACAGTTTTTAAAAAGTACAAAAGCATTAAAGAAAACATTGGCTGTTTAGCCTAGAAGTTTTGTACTTTATAAACTTCACATTGTAGAAAGTGCCATCACAAATATACAGCAAAATCTGGGTTACAAAATCATGCGTTTTATGGCCCTAAAGTGCTGCCACTTACACGGGTTCATTCAGACATTGCACAACTGAAGAATCAGCACGTTTCACACCACACCACGTCTACTAGGGAAAGGGAAGAAGTGCACGGGAATAGGAGAGAAGCTAGTGACTTGGAACCTCCAAGTCTGGGCTATCTCCTTTTGTGAAAGCAAAATAACACTCCCAAGTGTTTTAGGACAAAATACCTAAGTTTTGTTTTACTTTTCATTAATAGAGCTGGCTGTGGACAGGTCGGAATGAATGTGAAATACAGTTCCTCTCCTGAAACATGTCAACAGAGACCTCATATTTGAGTACATTTTGTTCTCTATAATACTTATAAAAGCTTTGTCAAAGAGTTAGAAACTAGAGTTCTGAGCAGTGTTGATAATAAGTGCTAAATGGGAGAGGAAAAGGCAGTTGAGGTGTATAAAAATATCCTAAGGATATTGGAAGGAGTAAGTACCCATAAAAATGTCTTTTCCTGTTTTTAACAGGCTCTGATTAACTGGCTGCATTAAGGAAAGGGGCTCCATCATGTAGCATGCATTAAATGATGCTGCTAAACAGTTTGTAAAAAGACAGTTTCAGTACCAGGAACTAACCTCAGTGGGAACCTCGGTCATTAGCTACGTCTTGGAGACGGCGTAATAAGGCAGAATGATTTTCAGGACAAATTCTTTTTGCAGGTGATTCACTTCCATCTTCCAAAATAATCCCTCTCTTTTTAGTTGGAGTTTCTCCTGTCCGAATCATACTGTTAATTTCTCTCAGTCTCTGTGGTGGGGAAAAATAGACATAAAGACTTCAAATGCTAATGCATACAGCACAGTATATATTAAAGAATCTCAAATGAGCTTATCAGTTTATCTGAACAACTTTTCAGAGAAAAGTGACACAATTCTGTACATCTCAGATGGCTGAGAATGATGATTCTTTGGGTAGGGCTAGAGTTTTTACAGGCTTATCAAGCTTCAAGGTGATTTTGCTACATTTCTACAGTGTGTGAGTTCACACATTAGTAGATATTTTTATGATAGCTATACAGCATCACATGGCTGTGCTACAACTGAATCATTTAGATAAGATGTCCATCTTCTTTTCTTTAAAACTGCATGCTTTTTTTTTTTTAGTAATATGCCCTTGTATTCAGAACAATGTTGTTACTGGTGGTTTTTAGCAGCCTTTCTCCCCAGCTTTTCATTAGAGAAATAAGGCTCAATCTGCTAACACATCCATGGTAGGTAATAAATTGGTGCTAGCTAGTTATGTGTTATCCTTTGGAGAACTGAGAAAAGTTACTCAGATTATTTTCTCAGTTCACTGTTCACATGAGGAACCCCAGGGAATGCCACAAAGTAGGAGACAGAGCTTCTTAGGACGTTCAGCATTGTTTTCTCCAGAGTCCCAAAAGTCTTTTCTTAGATTTTCTTATAGCTTGTTGGTTAAAATTTTTTTTTAATTTTATTTATTTATTTAGTTGTATGTGTGTGTGTGTGTGTGTGTGTGTGTGTGGCCAGCTCAGCCCACCAGGGGGCGGGGCTGGCTGGCATGTGGTGCTGGGGGATTGAACCGTGGTCCCTGTGCTTTGCTACGCTTGTTCTAAGTAGGTGCTTTAGACCACTGAGCCATCTCGCCAGCCCTAAAATTTTTATTTCATGTACTTCCTCAAAGAATATTCACATATTTTTAGGTTAGTAAATTTCAAACATACAAAGGTAGACAATCAGGTATAATGAATCCATATGCTCATCAGTATACTTCAACAATTTTGGGAGCCTTACTGATTTATATAACCCATTTATTTCCCAGCCCCTAAGTTATTTTTAACATACCCTTGACACTTTACTCACTTCATCATTTTTATTCTTTGAAATAGTAAACAACCCTTCTTTTTTAAGTAAAATCACCAATGTCTGTTTTTGTCCGTGTATGGACTTTCACTAATCTTAACTATCATCAGAAAGCTTCCTTTGGGGATGTGGCCCAGTGGTAGAGCCCTAGCACAGCGTGCACAAGGCCTTGAGTCCAATGCCTAGTACCAAAGAAGTAAAATAATCTTCCTTTGACTCACTCTCTACTTTGCTGTGCTATAAAGTCTGTTCTATATTTGCTGTCTCTCTAGTCCCTCAGCTTGAATATTCCTTATATTATTCACTATGACTACATTAATTGTATAAATGTTTATAACAAATTATATAACATTAATATTTAGTCTATAATTAGAAACCTTTTAATATATAAGTAAATCAGTATTTGATATATAAGCACATTGGGGTGTTTATTTTTTTTTGGTACTGGGAATCAAATTCAGGACCTTGTGTTTGCCAGGTAGGTACTTGTGCTACTGAGCTATATCCCTAGCCCTAGGATGTTTATTATGTATATATAATATATATATTATTTTACACATAGTTTTTTAAAAATATATATCTATTAGCTTAAACATTCATAAAGTCCTATTCTAAAAAAAAATACCTGGACTTTAGCCACAACTCCTAATCATAAACAATAATATTATTCTTCCACTGAACAAGGGATGGTTTGTATGTATCTTTCTGCTAATACTATTTTGATTGGGTTTAAAACAAATAAAAGTGGGAGTAGCCAGGCCTATTTTTAATCCTGACTGCTCAGGAGGCCAAGGCAGGAGGTACATAAGTTCAAAGCAAGCTTGGACAACATTCAGTGCTAAAGCAAAAAAGAGATTTATATTCTGTTTGGAATATCTGTATAGTCAATACTGTCTGGAGTCTCCTCATACCAGTCTATATGGTTCTATCAAGATTATAGTTCTTGGGCCGGCCAAATAGGTCAATGGATTAAAGTGCCTTCAAGCAGGCGCAGGGGGCTGGGGGGGGGGGTGATCCCTGGACCTGCTGTGCCAGCCCCGCCCCCTGGGGCACACTGAGACGGCAGTTGAGACTGGGTGTGGTGATGCACTCCTGTAATCCCAGCTCTTGGGAGGCTGTAAACAGGTGGGTCACTACGAGTCCAGTCTAGTAGTGAGACCCTGAACACCCTGTAGACCCTTCCCTAAAATACAAAAAAAAAAAAATTATAGTTCTTATAGTATTTCTCTATCACACGCTTGTCCCCACTGATGTATTATTTCCCCCTAACAGTTCAATACTATAGTCAATACTACTATAGTGTATTTTTCAAGAAGTGTACCAATCTGCTGAAATTGATCTTATAGCATCACTAACAGCGTCACCATCTTAATTAACCTTCTGTGATGCTTGATGATTCTTCTGTCCTGGTAGGAAGAATATTAGTTTATTATAGGTTGGTTATTGTCCCAATCTACTCACTTTGTAAGGCTCTCCCTTAGTCTGAGCTAGCACTTACTAAATCATGACAGATCCTCTTACCAAGAGTCTCATAATTGCTAATTATTTCCTGTTGAAATGCAAAATTCTGTCGCAGAAATTCTTTTCAAATTTTCCAAAAGTGGTGACACTGTGGAGGTAGGATTAAAAACCACTGATCTGGATGCTAGTAATTTATACACTAAATATTTCCCCCATTGTCTTTATTGGTTCCAAGAACTTTCTGGAGATTTTTCTGTGTACACCACATGCCTTCTGTAGCTTGCCTTATTGCGTACAGTAGGAACTCACTACAGTGTTGAAAGGAAGTGAGGGGACACCCTTCCCTTATTGCTGATTATAGAGGGAAGGCATTCAGTCTTTCACCCTTACAGATAACAGTACTCTGGCAAGTGCTCATTAGCAAATTGTCTTAAGAGTAGCTGTACACCAGTGAATACTGGATTTTGTTGAAGCTTTTAGTTGAAGCTTTTCCTTCAACTAAGATGATTTTTTTTAAGAGTTTGTTATAGACCTGCCATTATTTCTTTATAATCACTTGGCAGAATTTACTAGTAAAGCAAATTATATTTATAGTTTTTTTTGGACAGGTGATTTTTAAACTAATTTCTTTCATAGATACAGGGCTACTTCTCCAGTAACTTTTTTTTTTTTTTTGGATGTTAGGACAGGGTCTACAAGGGTCTCACTATGTAGATCGAACTCGTAATGATTCTCTTGTTTTCAGCCTCCCAAGTGCTAGGATTACAGGTGTGCCCCACTGTGCCCAGTGTCCATTGCCGGCTCAGCACAGGCTGGGGGCGGGGCCAGTGGGGATCGAACCTGGAGACTGCTTCTACCTAAGCAGGCGCTTTAATCTGCTGAGCTATTTGGCGGGCCCTCCAGTAACTTTTATGGGTGTGAGTCTTTAAGGGAATTTATCCATTTCATCTGTGCTGTCATATATTTATTAGCATAAAGTTGTTGCTTAACACTCAACATACTTTTAGTGTATATTGGAAATGTATTATTTCTTTCATTTTCCTGCAAGTCTAGAAAAGAGATATATCAATATTTTCATATTTTCTCCAAAAACCTACCTGTTGTCTTTCGGGTTTTTTCCCCCACTTTCTCTCTTATATTTAAAGTGATTCCTGAGTTTTTTCCAGCTTCTTACACCAACATCTGCAGCCACTAATTTGAGACTTTTCCTCTTTCTCATAAATCTCCTTTTTAGCATTACTTTTACTGCATCTCACAAGTTTTAATATTTTGTGTTTTCCTTAGTTCACACATTAATTTCTCAAATAATGTGGTCTTTACTCACAGAAATCTGTGAATAAGTTTCCAAAGTTTAGATTTCCCAGTTATTACTTCTATAATGATTTCTGATTTAATGCCACTCTAGCCAGAAAAAATGCATTATTTGAATTTTTCAGTATATCTTGAGCAGGCAGGAGATGTAGCCCAGTGGCACAGTTCTTGTCTAGTACGTTTGAGGTTCTAGGTTTCACCCTCAGCACTACTAAAAATAAATTGAAGGGGGCCAGGGAGATGGCTCAGTAGAATAAGTGCTTCCCTGGCAAGCACAAGGGCCTGAGTTCAATCCCCGGTTCCACCAAAAAAAAAAAAAAAATTGAGACTTTCTTATGGTCCAGAATGTGGTCTGTTTATAAACATTCCATGTGCAGTTGATGCTGCTGATGTGTTCTATTAATGCCAGTTGATCTGTTTGAAAATAATGATTTTTTGTATCCTTACTGATTTTCTCTACCTACTGCCTTTATTAATTATGTTGAACTTTTTCACTATGAACATTTTATTTATGATTTTATATCCTCACTGTCATTAGGAAGTTAATTTCTATCACTGATACTATTCTTTGCTCTGAAATCTTTTAATATTAATATAGCTACTCCACCATTTGATGAGGGCTAGCCTGCTCTTTTTCCATCCTTTAACTTGTGGGTGTGGGGGGGGGTGCTGAATATTGAACCCATGACCCTTTGCTCTGAGCTACTTCCCAGCCCTCTGTATTTTTATTTTGAATCAGAGTCTCACTAAGTTGCCCACAGCTGTACTCAAACTCACAATGCTCCTGCTTCCACTTCTTGGTGCTCAGAGTACAGGCGTGTACCATCATACTTGGCCCATCCTTTAACGTTTAAAACTCTTGACATTTAATCACAAACTATAGAATTCATTCATTT